GGATGGTTAAGGGGTAGTAAGGTGTTGTGTTAGTTTGCCTTCGATGGTTAAGGGGTGGTCAGGTGTTGTGTTAGTTTGCCTTGGATGGTTAGGGGGTGGTCAGGTGTTGTGTTAATTTGCCTTCGATTGTCAGGTAGTGGGGAAATGTGTTAGTTGTATACTGTTAAGTGTATTTTGTAACAGTGTATTTGGTGCTCTTCATGCGCGATTTGGTGTTTCTGCTCGTCCAGTATAGCAACGTCAGCAGTCTAGTTGGGGTGTATTTAGATGGTTATTGATCGTAATGATGGACCATTAGATGAAAATTAAAATGGCCATGGAATAGATAAGATTAAGACAGGAAAGACTCTAGGAGAAAGCGTCAGTGAGTGAAGCTTACTGGCAGAAAGACTGGGAATTGGTTTATGATTCCACCTCTCCCTCTCCCATCCCTTCCCTCTGCCTCTCCCGTTACCTCTCTCCGCCTTTTTTTCTTTCTCTCTCGCTCTCTCTCTCTTTCGTTCTCTGTCTGAGACCTTTCTCTTTTGTTACATCACACCACGTTGCAACTAGCAGATCACTGCCCTGATTTTGTGGCACTAGTACAATAGCATCAAGGGCGTATAAAGAAGGAGAGCGTGCAACGGTGAAATGCTGAAACCATGTTGCAGTATTAGTCGAATTAAGACACTGCCCGTTTTATTTTGACGATTCTTTGCGGTATTATTGATCAGCTGTCCTACCTTGCTAATATAAAACAAACCGCTTGTCCCTACGATGCCCCTACGCTGAGATAATGAGCGGTGAAAATCTGGTTAAAAACCGCTCATTATCTCAGCGTAGGGGCATCGTAGGGACATGCGGTTTGTTTTATATTAACAAGGTAGGACAGCTAATCAATAATACCGCAAAGAATTATAACGGTTACTGAAAATAAAACGAGGAAAGTTTATTAATTCGACTAATACTGCAACATGGTTTCAGCATTTAACCGTTGTACGCTCTCCTTCGTAATACGCTCTTGATACTGTTGATAGCATCTGACATTTTATCCGGCAAGTCTGTTTGCCCTTTTGGTTGTGTTATCTTGTAAGCGTGTGCTGAAATTAAAGCTGATTATGAGAATGCTGTATGGCACCGAGAACTCAAAAGGCTCGATATCAACTTATGTGCGTGTAAACTCTGTGTAACATGATACGCTTATAATTGCCTCATAATAATCCGAGTTTGTCTTTTGAAAGTATATTTAATTCAATATCATGCGGAGGACCTTCCGTGGCAATTAGCTGACTACAATCCTCTAAGGTTTCATGCTTTGTAGACGTAAAGGCTTCATGGAGGAAGTTTAGTTGCCTAAACGTAATTTAAACGTGCACCGTCCCTGGTAAAAGGTTGTACTGATCTATCATTGTTAAACGTTTAGACATCACATGCATGGCTTCATAGAGCGTGAGAGCGAGAGATATAGAGTCATTGAGAGATAGAGCGTGAGGGAGAGAGAGAGCGAGAGAGAGAGAGCGAGCGAGCGAGCGAGAGAGAGAGAGAAGAGAGAAGAAGGAGAGAGAGAGAGAGATGAGAGAGAGAGAGAGAGAGAGAGAGAGAGAAGAGAGAGAGAGAGAAGAGCGAGAGAGAGAGAGAGGAGAGAGAGAGAGAGAGAGAGAGAGAGAGAGAGAGAGCAGACAGAAGAGACAGTAGAGACAGAGAGATCAGAGAGACACGAGAGACAGAGAGACAGAGAGACAGAAGAGACAGAGAGACAGAGAGACAGAGAGGCAGAAGAGACAGAGAGACAGAGAGACAGAGGAGACAGAGAGACAGAGAGACAGAGAGACAGAGAGACAGAGAGACAGAGAGCAGAGAGACAGGAGATAAAAAGGACAGAGAGACAGAGAGGACAGAGGACAGAGAGACAGAGAGACAGAGAGACAGAGAGACAGAGAGACAGAAGACAGAGAGACAGAGAGACAGAGAGACAGAAGAGCACAGAGAGACAGAGAGACAGAGAGACAGAGAGACAGAGAAGACAGAGAGACAGAGAGACAGAGAGACAGAGAGACAGAGAGACAGAGAGACAGAGAGACAGAGAGACAGAGAGACAGAGAGACAGAGAGACAGAGAGACAGAGAGACAAGAGAGACAGAGAGATGCAGAGAGAGACAGAGAGACAGAGAGACAGAGAGACAGAGAGACAGAAGAGACAGAGAGACAGAGAGACAGAGAAGACAGAGAGACAGAGACGACAGAGAAGACAGAGAGAAGAGAGACAGAGAGACAGAGAGACCAGAGAGACAGAGAGACATGAGAGACAGAGAGACGCAGGAGACAGAAGACAGAGAGACAGAGAGACAGAGAGACAGAGAGACAGAGAGACAGAGAGACAGAGAGACAGAGAGACAGAGAGACAGAGAGACAGAGGAGACAGAGAGAACAGAGAGACAGGATGACAGAGAGACAGAGAGACAGAGAGAACAGAGAGACAGAGAAGACAGAGAGACAGAGAGACAGAGAGACAGAGAGACAGAGAGACAAGAGAGAGCAGAGAGACGAGAGACAGAGAGACAGAGAGACAGAGAGACAGAGAGACAGAGACAGAGGACAGAGACAGAGAGACAGAGAGACAGAGAGACATGAGAGACAGAGAGACAGAGAGACCAGAGAGACAGAGAGACAGAGAGACAGAGAGACAGGAAGACGAGAGACAGAAGAGACAGAGAGACAGAGAGACAGAGAGACAGAGAGACAGATGAGGACAGAGAGACAGAGAGACAGAGAGACAGAGAGAGCAGAGAGACAGAGAGACCAGAGAGACAGAGAGACAGAGAAACATGAGAGAGGACACAGAGAGAGACAGAGAAGACAGAGGACAGAGAGAGCATGAGAGACAGAGAGACAGAAGAGAACAGAGAGACCAGAGAGACAGAGAGACAGAGAGACGAGAGAGACGAGAGAACAGAGAGACACAGAGACAGGAGACAGAAGAGAGAGCAAGAGAGACAGAGGAGACAGAGAGACAGAGAGACAGAGAGACAGAGAGACAGGAGAGACAGAGAGACTAGAGAGACGAGAGACAGAGAAGACAGAGAGACAGAGAGGACAGCGAGAGAGCAGAGAGACAGAGAGAACAGAGAGACAGAGAGACGAGAGACAGAGAGACAGAGAGACAGAGAGACGAGAGACAGAGAAGACAGAGAGACAGAGAGACAGAGAGAGCAGAGAGAACAGAGAGACAGAGAGACATGAGAGACAGAGAGACAGAGAGACAGAAAGGAAAGGAAACAGTAGAGCAGAGAGACAGAGAGAGCAGAGAGACAGAGAGACAGAGAGACAGAGATAAAGACAGAGAGACAGAGAGACAGAGAGACATGAGAGACAGAGAGACAGAGAGACAGAGAGACAGAGAGACAGAGAGACAGGAGAGACAGAGAGACAGAGAGACCAGAGAGACAGAGAGACAGAGAGACAGAGAGACAGAGAGACAGAGAGACAGAGAGACCAGAGAGACAGAGAACAGAGAGACAAGAGAGAACAGAGAGACAGAGGACCGAGAGACAGAGAAAGCAGAGAGAGCAGAGGAGACAGAGAGACAGAGAGACCAGAGAGACAGAGAGACAGAGAGACAGAGAGACAGAGAAGACAGGAGAGACAGAGAGACAGAGAGAACAGAGAGACAGAGAGACAGAGAGACAGAGAGACAGAGAGACAGAGAGACAGAGAGAAAGAAGAAGACAGAAGAGACAGAGAGACAGAGAGACAGAGAGACAAGAGACAGAAGAGACACGAGAGAAGAGAGACAGAGACAGAGAGACCAGAGAGACAGAGAGAGCAGAAAGAGACAGAGAGACAGAGAAGACAGAGAAGACAGGAGAGACAGAGAGACAGAGAGACAGAGAGACAGAGAGACAGAGAGACAGAGAGACAGAGAGACAGAAAAGAGACAGAGAGACAGAGAGACAGAGAAGACCTACCGACAGAGAGAGCAGGAGAGACAGAGAGACAGAGAGACAGAGAGACAGAGAGACAGAGAGAGAGAGAGAGAGAGAGAGAGAGAGAGAGAGAGAGAGAGAGAGAAAGTAAGAGATGAGGCAAGGCAACAGATTATCATGTAATCTCTGTCAACCATGCATTCCTATTGCTAGTTTGTCTCAGTCACATATAAATTCCCCATTACCGGAATCTAGCCCTTTCATCATATAGCATGTTGCAATGTACGTTAGAGAACATTTAGCTTGACTGATACAATACTGTAGCTGTTCAAATATCCAGTGGCAGTGACTCCTTCACGTTATGAATTCGTTTTCGGGTTAATAGTCACTAATTTTCATACAATTCAGTGGACGCAGAATCTTTGTTTCTTCTCAAACTTCATTTTGCTTAGATCTATGTGACATTTAGTACACGAGTCTATATATTTTTAGCGCTCCTTTGGCAATGTCGGGAGTTGAATGACATCGATGGTTTTTATGCTACTTCCGCTGAACAGCATTTCATATTCAAGTGTAAACCTAAACTCACTATGTTGCATCGCTAACTGCAAAGTCGTTGCTCTTGCCTTCGGTGTGGAAATGTTAGCGCGGGGTACTCATTGAGTGAACGACCTTAAAGTCTAAGCTCAACGGTCCGCGTGCACGTTGGAATAGTTGGCGGGACTGCCTCGTGCCCTACGATCTGAACTGTATTCTCATCAGAGATCAATAAATCCATTATTTGCGGTTGATGTGGTCTAAACTGACCCTTTAAGTGAGAAAGGATGAGCGGAAGGAAACTCAGGCGTCTATCTGCTGCTGGGGTGTTATTGCCGTTATTGCTGCTGTCGTCTAACCTGCACTCTTATTTCGCATGATTGCCAATTATATTAGAAATATAGATAGAAATATAGATGTACATGGTTCTCCCCAAGAAGTTCAGAAGGCATGTCGAGTAATTGGGCAATTTATCCCCGATTGATAATGGAATTCGGTTACACGTGCCATAAGCGTGTCCAGATACGCAAGTGAACTCGATCAGTTAGAAGACGCATATATACTTCAAGCTATAAAAACATAGCACGATTGTATTTGGATTGTCAAAGTTCAACACAGCTGCAAATTGAGGCATGTCAGTTGGGCAATTAAGGCATTTCAGAGGATATATGGGATGTCGGAAACTAGCTCCAGCTTTGAAAGCAAGTTGGACCCAACATGCCTTTAAGGCCTATAGTGAGAACCCTGCATATATACATATAAATAAATATATATAGAGAGAAAGATATATAGATATAGGTGCCGTGATATGCTAAAGACATGCATAGGCCACAGAAACCAGGACAGCCTGTACTTCATTGGAATATATATCCGCTGTGATTAATTGCCTAATTCCTATTACAGCTTGGCCACATTTGAGCTGTGCTAATAAGAGCAGGAAATCTTGGGTTTAGTATAAAGCAATAAGTTAAAATTAGGTTGGAGTTTAGTAACAATAGGATTGGGTTTAGTTACAACAGGTTGGAGTTTAGTAACAATAGGTTATAGGTTAGTAACGCTGAGAGGGTCTATGTCCCCCAGGGTACTGCCGGAACGTACTCTGGGTACGGTCCGGTATACCGGAACGTACCCTGGTACTAAATACTACTATCTAATATGCAGGACCGTACCTCGCCTACTCCACTAACGAGTCTAGGGAGTTGCCTACGCCTACTAACTCCCTAACTCTAACCCTAACCCTATACCTGTTCCGGTATACCGGACCGTACCCAGGGTACGTTCCGGCAGTACCCTGGGGGACATAGACCCTATGAGCTTTAGTAACAATAGGTTAGAATTTATAATTATTAACAATAGGTTAGATTTTAGTAACAACAGGTTAGAATTTAGTTACAATATATTGAAGTTTAGTAACAATAGCTTAGAGTTTAGCAACAATAGCTTAGAGTTTAGATACAATTGTGTCGTTATTAACTCACAATCGGGCAGAAAGATGATAGGATATAGGGACTTGTAAGTTTCTAATAATGAGATATGGTTCCTCTGTTTCCCTAGCTACATGTTACTCTCTGTAGCATCTGTTTACATCAGTGTTACGACCAGCTAGTAACGATGGCATATACATATAACATTAACATATAACAGATATTAATACTACCATTAATGCACATAACAATCCGGAGGAAGAGGTGGATAAGGATGTAAGGGGTTTGATACAATTGTGTACAGTTTTGGCATTTCTGCAGGCTGTACTAGTGTATTCAAATATACATGCTCATGTCTCACGCAGTGAGATGCATACAAAGGTGTTCTAGTGTTTATGGGCATGAAGACAGTCTGAGATATCACTATTATCAGTGTGTCTATCATGCAATGTTGACGTTATGAAATCCTGTCATTGTAGTATGGTATCAAAAAGAAGGAGGAGAAAGAGGAAGAGCAAGAACACATGGACGAATCTGGGAGAATCGGTAGAAAGAAGAAGTCTCCCGAGGAAATGCGGCAGGAGGCAGCAGCAGAGGAAGAGGAAGACGACAGCTTAATGGGTGAGTCGAATGTAGACGTGGTAGTGTGCCTTCCCCGCAAACTATAGCATGAGTGAGAACCCGCAGTATAAAGAAACATATACATGGACGTTTTTTCTCACGCACATCCACAAGGAAATCGCGTGCGTAAGGTCATAGCCCAACTGCATTTTCCTGTCTTTACGCTTCTTCTACTCGTTCATTTTGTCTTACGACCATCCATGGCACATGATAAATTCTAGCGCATTCGAGAGGTTTTCCCCAGAGCAAAAGAGCGCTTATAAAATGGAAACAATTTTGCAGCCGCGCAGCTGTAATATGAGAGCATTTCTCAGTTGCTGGCCTACTTGACCCATTCTGGTATTGATTTGCTGTTTCTGCGCGAATACCCTGCCTGTGTATAGTACGCGTACAGGGCTGTACTCTGGTTAAGTGGTATAGCTGAGGTCACTAATCAGGGTTACTCCTGCTCTACACACTAAATAATCAATAATCACGAACCACATTGCTAGTCCTGATTCAAACGTCTACAGCCAATTAAATTTTTCTAATCAGCTTTCCCTTTTAATAGATTTCCATTAAAGTTCTTCAGTGCTGCCAGCTTCAATTACACGCGTATATTTTTCAATCTACTATGTAGCAGGGCTGATTCATGGCAAATATTAGGAAAAGTAGTAGTGTGTTAGCCGCTTGCCACTCTGTCCCATACTAGCTGCGATTTAACATTGTTCGTGGTTTAACATTGCCCGTAGTTTAACATTAATCATGGTTTAACATTGCCTCTGCTATAACATTGTCTATGGTTTAATGTTGCCCCTGGTTTAGCATTAACCATTGTGTAATATTTTTTCAATTGTTTAACATTTTCCATGGTTAAAAATTACGAATGGTTTAAAATTGTCAGTGATTTAACATTGTCTATGGTTTAACATTGTCCATGGTTTAAATTTGTCTATAGTTTAGCATTGTTTATGGTTTAACGTTGTCTATGGTTTAACATTGTCCATGGTTTAGCGTTTCCCACGATGTAACAGTTGTCAATGGTTTAGCATAGTGCATGATTTTTACATTTGTCCATGGTTTAAATTTGTCTATAGTTTAGCATTGTTTGTGGTTGTACGTTGTCTGTGGTTTAACATTGTCCATGGTTTAAATCTGTCTATAGTTTAGCATTGTCTGCGGTGTAACTTTGTCTATGGTTTAGCATTGTCCATGGTTTAGCGTTTCCCACGATGTAACAGTTGTCAATGGTTTAGCATAGTGCATGATTTTTACATTTGTCCATGGTTTAACATTGCTCCTCTTAATGTAACATTGTTTGTGGTTTACTTTTGCCCGTGTGGTTGAATCCAAATACACGTCAGTATACAATAAAAAGCACAATTGTAGTTTACTGTGTCCCTCTGTACTGGTAGTGGCTGGACCTGGACGGAATTTACTAAACGTACGGATTTTTAAGATATTATACAACCTGTCTGTCATGTCGTACATGAATCTAGGTACGTACATACTACATGGTGTCATAAACACGCACGTAAGTTACCCTCAAGTAGAAGATTTGAGAGGCTTACTTTATACGTGATTGGTCTGCCTGGGCCGTGTGGCAAATAGACACAAGTCGTACTATATCGCAACAATTAATGTAAGTCGATCCAGTTGTAAGGCGGACCAATTTATTTATTCAGTAATCACTAAAAGCTATTAGGTCATATAAATCCGCACGTACAAAGGTAACGACTCTTGAGTCCACTGTAAGTTCTTGCCGGGGCTAGTAAAAAGAGGCCAATGCCATGCTTTATTTCATGTTAGGGTGGGATCATGATTGCGGTCTTATGTTTTCGTGGTTCTACTGTTGTTTCTACTCTGTTTTTAATTTGTTGGTGTCGGGCGATCATTTGACCAACAAGGTGGCTTTTATTTCCTCGTTTACCAAATATGATCGAAAACGTCTGCTTTCCATAGCGTGCCAATGTAAAGAAACAGAGAAGGTGTATCACTCAGCATCTCTCTCTCTCTCGCTCTCTCTCTCTCTCTCTCTCTTTCTCTTCTCTCTCTCTCTCGCTCTCTCACGTCTCTCCTTCTCCTTTCTTCTCTCTCCCTTCTCTCTCTCTCGTCAGGTCTTTCCTGTTCTTCTCTTCTCTTTCTCTCTTTTCTTGCGCGCAGACTCTCCTTCTCTCTTCATCTCTCTTCTCTCTCTCCTCTCTTTTCCTAGTCTCTCTCTCTCTCTCTGCTCCTCTCCTGGTCTTTCTTCCTTCTCCTTCTCTCTCTCTCTCTCTGTCTCTCTTCTCTCTCTCTTCTCTTCTCTCTCCCTCTCTCTCTCGCGCTCTCTCTCTCTCTCCTTCTCCACTTTCTGAATCTCCGCTCACCTCTCTTTCTCCGCATTCTCACTCCTCTCTCGTCTCGCTTACTCTTCTCCATTCTATCCTTTCTCTTTACTGTTGTCTTTTCGCTTCGATCGCTATAAACTAGCACTGCAGCCTGATTATATTTATCTTCGTCAAAGTGTAGACCTTCCAATTATAGCATTGACCGAGATGACTGGGAACAAAGAGGTTGATCCGGATATAAGTAGAATTGTTATAGACAGAGAGTACGTGAGCACATAACAATGTCACTTCGTTTTGTACCATTAGTATGATTTTTCTCTGTGAAATGTTGCAAGTGCCTGTGCTCAAAGCTTAGGCTTTTAGAGTCGTCATCTGCAGGCAGCAGTAAAATGTTATCCGCCGTGACCTCTCTACACGTGTATCAGAAACGTCATTTTCTCAGGTTGCCTGAAGCCATTCTTCACTCTTTGCGACAGTTTCCTGTGGTGAGCGGAAGGAAGTAATCTTGAAGAAATGTGATACGTCGACAGGTATACGCGCAAGCTGTTGGACGCGAGTTGCATAGATGAACGTTTGGTGGATGGTTTTAGCATCCAACACACTCTTGGTGGAATTCTTCATCGGTGAAGGCTACAATTGTTTTGAGGTTTCTTTTCGTATTCTACGCGAGTTTTACTTGTTGGCGCCTTCACCGCGCCATTACCTTCGTGTAAGCTGAATGTCGTGTATGATACTGGCACGGTTTTCTATGTTACATGTTGCTAAGACTTGTCCATGTGGAACACACACTATCAAGAGCGCATTAACTCCAATTAATGGGGGTTAATGCGCTCTTGACACTATGATGTACCGAAACGCCCGAGTAACCCACTCCAACGCAATATTTGCTGGACTCACATGGGTTTGATGTTGTACGTCCGTCGACGGTTTACAAGCAGAATCTTCTGTTTCACATGCAATCATGCTCTAAAACGTTTTGCTGGTGGCAAAGTCATAAGCAGCTGTTGCTTTATGTCGCTAACATTATGATCACTGCATATATTATAGTACATGATCGTTTTTCGGTTTTTCTTGCTACCACCGAGCTTGCAAACTAAATGCATCTGCTTGCATTATAAATAAATGTCGATATAATAGAATCGGTAAAAGTAAGTCTGGAAGTTTAGCTAAGTAGATCGAGTCGGTACCAGATGATAACATACATACTACCCTGATCGCGAATATAAGATGCTGTGAAGCCTAGAGGCTGAGGGATGCTGCCCACTATAGCCACAGCTGTTTGAATTTTACACCAACATCCTCTGGATTTCTGGCTAAAGCTGTGGTAGTCAATATCGCGGTGCGGTGAGTGTGGTGGTGGTGGTGCTGCTGCTGCTGCTGCTGCTGCTGCTGGTGGTGGTGGTGGTGGTGTTGCTGCTGCTGCTTCTACTACTACTACTGTTGTTGCTGCTGCTGCTGTTGCTGCTGTTGCTGCTGTTGCTACACGATGATGGTGGTAGTAGTGGTGGTGGTGGTGCTGCTGCTGCTGCTGCTGCTGCTGCTGCATGCTGGTGGTGCTGTGATGCTCGTAATCTCTGATTATCATTTAGAGTGCTTCTCGGCGTAACCGCGTTGGTTTATGCGTGTTGTTTGCCGTCTGTTTGCCCCCCGAGGCTGCACTGCTGTGTGTACGACACGTTTCAAGTTTCGATTGTCGTCGGTACTAGATTGTCGGCCTCAGCCTGCCCCGAGAAGCAGTGAATGAGAGTGGCAGCGCCATATTGCATTGTGATATCGGAACAGCTTTACAATTAAACTGCATGTTACTTGAGTTGAGTCCCAACCGCAACTCATATATATATATATATATATATTAAGAGAAATTCTAATTAATGATGGGGTAACTCAAACGATTGTCTAATGATGTTATAATATAATGGCTTAATTAATAATTGACAATGAAACATATCAGCGATCGCTTCATTAATCGAACCTTTTATTCTACCGGCACATATATAGTGTGCCGTTTCAAAGTTCGATAATCAGCATAATATAATCAGTATAACCAGTATATATATCATAATATAATCAAGAGCTAATAATTATTAGCTCTTGATATAATCAGTATAATATTCATAATAATTCACTTATTCAATTATTATACTGTTGGATTGTCGTTGCGTATCATTCAGACGAGCCGTCACGTTGCTTGCTTCTGATCTGACTAATTGATCGTAAAATACATTCATCCGCGCATCGCAATTGCCGGTATTTAGGGGATAGGGGAGCTATAAAACAAAGATACGGAGAGGGAGAGAGGGGAAGGAAGAAGGGTGGTGTAGGGAGAAGGTGGTGGGAGAGAAAGGTGAAAGCATAGTAGATATAAAAGTAGCGTTTTATGTTAAGTGTATAACGACAGTGTAAATACTTCAGATCTGGTACATCTAATAACAGCGTTTGCGTATAAGATCTGTAAATACGTAAAGAATTCACGTTAGCTGTAAAGATAATTATTTGTTGTCATAAAGGCAGGTGAAATTTAATGAGTCATAAGGTCATGACCGGAGAAAATTGACATTCTCTTTCCTCTGTTGAAGCAGTGATTGGGACAAACCCTGCACGTGATTGTCAGTGCAATGGTAAGGGTATAGTGTGTTGGAAATAAAACGCAGTTCCTTTATTTTATAATTTTTTCTAAAACGCGCATGCAGTAATCGGTCTTTCCTAGTAATATTAATTCATGCATGGTCTGAAACTAACCGCCCATCGGTCCCATGCGACACTATTGATATCTATTTCTTCCGAAATTTTCATAATCGCTTACGCACAATAGTGTGGCGATAACTCACGGAAGTACTGCAGTGATATGTATATCGGTCCGAACTGCACTTTACCCGATGCAAGTGGGTGTAGCAGCAGTCAGCAAAGTGTTTAATAGAAGCACAGAGTTTATATCGACACGCCGTCTGTATTGATAGATGCGTGTCCCTCCTGATTATGTGGCGTGGCCGAGCAGAAATGCCATAGAAAGCTGAAGAAGAAGTTACTAGGTTTCATGTCATGTTTGCTTATATGAGAGAGGATCTCGCGAGCGGAAATTAAAAATGTCGATGATGCGCGGTCGTTTAATATCGTACGCACGCACGCACGCACGCACGCACGCACGCACGCACGCACGCACGCACGCACGCACGCACACACACACACACACACACACACACACACACACACATCCTATCTATCTATCTGTCTATCTATCTATCTATCTATCTATCTATCTATCTATCTATCTATCTATCTATCTATCTATCTATCTATCTATCTATCTAGCTATCTATCTATCTATCTATCTAAAGAGAGAGATCGAGTGAGTGAAAAAGAATGAGAGAGAGAGAGAGAGAGATAGAGAGAGAGTGAGAGAGAGAGAGAGAGAGAGTGAGAGAGAGAGAGAGAGAGAGAGAGAGAGAGAGAAGAGAGAGA